TCTCTCCTCTCTCTCTCTCTCTCTCTCTCTCTCTCTCTCTCTCTCTCTCTCTCTCTCTTCTTCCCTCTTTCTCTCGACCCATCTTCCCTTTCCCTTTCCCTTTCCCATTCTCTTTACACATCATACCGATCCGAGCTATGATGCACAGGCGTGTAGGTAAAATAATCAAACGTGGCCATCTTCTCCGTGCCATTCATATCCGACGCCGCGACGCCTACAAAAGCGCCTGTAAAACTGCCGTGGCTGTGTCGAGAAAAGCGCGGAAATGTCAGCAATACGTTTCTAGCGCGTTTCTCTCATCCGCATACACATGAGCAGCAGTTCGCTTGCTATGGCGTGATAAGAAGCAGACAAGACGAGGAAAGGGGAAACTCACGCTTGATGTCCTCCACACTCATCACTCAGAATCGATGCGTCGTACACGGGCCCGATATCCTTGAGCTCCGTGTCGCTCTCAAGCGCGTACTTGAATTGCAGCGCCGCGCCGCGTATGCTGAGTGCAAGCCGGACTTTGCCCTCCTGCGGTATCTGCACTGGGTCCGGAAACGGCATTTTGAGATTGCCGTCGGGCCACGAGGCCTCGGAGCTCATGAGTAGTAGTTCGCGCTGGCCGTCGGAATGCGCTGTGACGGCCAGGTAGAAGAAGTTGAAGCGGCAGTAGTACGCGGTGAGGCCGGCAAAGGTGCGTTCGTCGTCCGGACGGAAGTTTACGACTGTCTCGGCGTCGTAGGAGAAATGCGTCTGGCGGCGTGCGACGAGCGCTTGCTCAAACCACGAGCCGATGGACTCGCGTCCTGTGAGCTCCAGCCCGCTTTTGCTGAAGCGAAAAATGCGTTCGGGCTCGGGTGTCCGCAGCCATTGGAAGTCCTTGTGCAGCGTGTCGGTGCTGGTGAAGTCGTAGTGCTGGGGGGCCCAGTATGCCGTGTCGTCGCGCTCTGCTGGGAGATCGACGTACAGAGATGGGATAGGTCCGTTCTTGACGTATAGCCAGTCGTCCTTGTCCCAGTATGCTTCTTGGATGGCTGTCTCGCGCCCAAGAACACAGCGCCGTGCCTGTGTAGTCGGGCGGCCGGTCAAGTGAACCACGTACGTCCTGCCGTCTGGCGTGTCGACGATATCGCCATGGCCTGCTCGTTGCAGAGCCGCCAGCGGCGCATCTTTGGACGTAATGATGAATTTCTGCGGATGCAGCTCATACGGGCCCCAGATATCGCGCGAGCGAGCAAACGTACACGCATGTCCGTATGCGGTGCCTCCCTCGGCCGTCAAAAGATAGTACCAGCCATTCCGCTTGCACAAGTGGGGGCCCTCGACGAGCCCGAGATCTGAGCCGGGGAAGATTGTTTTCCAGGGGCCGACGAGCTTCTCCGTCTTTTCGTCCCATTGCTGCATCCTGATGCCCTTTGCATAGTTAGCGTCAGGCAGCCATAACTATGAGCTACTAACAGTAAAGTACCGCGGCCGCCGCCGATGGTCCTGCAGCATATTCACAAACCACTTCTTCCCATCGTCATCATGAAACAGCGATGGGTCGAATCCCGACGAGTTGACGTAAATGGGATCCGACCAGGGCCCTTCAATCTTATCGGCATGAACAATATAATTTGGGTTGTCCTTGAATGAGCCATCCTTGCGCTTGACATCGGTATAAACGAGCCAGAACTTGTTGCCGTCGTGGGTCAGACAGGGGGCCCAGACACCTTTTTGCATGCGTTATGACAATGGCCGGTTAGACAGGGGGAGTGTGTGGTTAAAAGACATACCGCAGCTATCTGGATCGCCACGCATATCCAACTGGCTCTTTCGTGTTAATGGGCGTGTGACGAGGTCCCAGTTGGCCAAGTCCTTGGAGTGATGGATCTGCACGCCTGGAAACCATTCGAATGTCGATGTGGCAATGTAGTACTAGAAAAGTCTGTTTAGTATATTTGGTCCTGGAGATATTGATTCGATGGTTCCATTTCACTCATGCTGCTGCTGTAGAGAGGCGGAGGAATTGGTATCGCAACTTACTGCCTCAGATTAGCTCAGCTCAGTTAATCCACTACCTCTCGAGCACGAACAACAACAAGAACAAGAACAAGAACGAAGGAAAACTCTCAAACATACCATCATCTCCCACCCTCAGGACCGAAGGATCCGCATTGAAACCCGGTAAAATCGGATTCCGAACCAACGGCATGATTCTGTGCGTTCTCCGCTTTCTTCTCTTCTCTTCTTTTCCAATTTCTCCAATTCTTCTCTTTCAATTCAACAGCAACTCAAATTCAAAATCCCGTTCCGCGCACGTAATCTTGTATTTCGTTCCAAGCAAGCAAGCAAACACACACGCATGCATGTGGCCAGTAAGTACTATTATATATAAGAGGGACCCAGTTTTTGAATTTAACCGGCTCGCCCCCGCCCCCGCGCCAGCACCATGAAGTAAGTCGTCAGTAGCGGTAGTCGTCTTTTGCCGGCGGCCTGATGTGCGGAACACTTTTTTAGCCCAACCCCAAGTCACCAGAAAAGAAGAGAAAAAAAAAGAGAACAGGACTAATGATAGTTGACACTAATGCCAAGTAAGTATGGGTAATTACTAACGGCAATTGATTACACAGACTCACAGACTCACACTGTTCTTTTTTTTTTTTACCCCCGACTTGGCATTACCTTACAATACCTTACCTTACTTACCTAGATACTGATCTCAATTATCTTGGCGCTAAGTACAGTAAGTACAACAACACGCGCAAGACAATTACTATGAAAAGAAAAACTCCAATTCGCCAATGCGCATCTACACCTGATAAGCTGCATGATGATACTACTGCAACACGACTACTCATTTACCATTCCTAATGCCATTACCACGGGCAATCGTAAAACGAGAGTAAAAGAAGTGTTGTATACACACAAGCTCGTCCTGCAATGCACATGCACCGGAGTACCGGATAACGGTTTGGGAGAACGAGGGGCGAAGCTAGAGCTAGTGCTAAAGTGTGTGTGTGTGTGTGTATTCTTTTCATCATCCGAACAGCAAAGACCACGACGGAATCTGACTGAACATTTTACGAAATCTGGCTGATACAACGGAATCCGACCAACGACATGCTTTTTATGATTATTCACCTAAAAAATCGCATCATGGAACCCATGCAAAGACAGACAGACAGACAGACAGAGACTGGGTATCTTGGTGAATTGAAGAAGCTGCTGCATGCGAGTGAGATGGGGGGGGGCATTTTCCAAGCTCAACTCAACATGTTTGCTTCGTTTCATGTTGTACGTAGGGTCGGGGGCTCGGATCACATCCTTTCGGTAGAGCAGGGCTTCCAGCCGCTACAAAAGACGAAAAAAAATATACAGGTAGCTATTTAGGCCTGAACGCCTGATATTCCTTCATTGCCTTCTCCCACGCCCTCGGATTCCTGGTGGGCGGCAGATGTGTTGTTGGATGTCTGGTCGTTGGAGGATACAACGATACCCGCTGGCGGAGCAAACATTTCTCCTTCATCAGTATCCAGTTGCATCAGGAATGTCTCCCAGATCTCAATAAGCTAGCATAACGTCAGCAGGAATCAAGCTGTAGGCAATGACTACTCACCTCCTTTTGTGCCTCAACAGCACTCTCCAGGAATGTCTCGACGCCTGATTTAAAGTCCTCGACCTTTTCTCTCTCAAAACGCTCCAGCTCACTGCGCATCAGTCGGCCCATGTCGTCAAAGAGTAACCTCGCCTGATGCACCTTGCGTTCGGCATCGGCAACGTCTGCACTGAGTTGGTTGAGGCGATCTTGCTGGGAGCGGCCTTGTCTCAGAAGCTTATCCTGAGTCGCCTTTCGCTTCTGCAGTTCTTGTTCGGCAGAATGCCATGAGTGGTAGGCCTTTTGTCGCTGTTGGAATGCAGTCTTCACAGATCCTATGAGGCGAATGTACTCATCAATGACAATGCCCATGGTGAGAACATCCTGCTGCGCTTGGCGTTCATAGAGTTCACGGATGCGGATTTGTATGTCGGACAGGCTGTCGAGGGGGCCAGACAGGGCAGGCGACAACTCAACTGCAGACAGCGAGTGCAGGGAAGCCGAAAAATCGCCACAGGCTTCAGCCAGGCCTTTTCGCTGCGAGACTACCGTGTCGGTTGCCTTGAGAAGTGCCTTGAGCTGTGCTTCGAGCGCATCGAGGTAGATTCTGCGGTCGTGGAACCACTAGCATTGTCAGTATATCATGCACATGTACGAATTGAAGACGTACATCGTCGTGCTCGACAAACTTGCCGCTGCTGCTGCCAAGCATGGAGCCAAACATGCCCTTGTTCTCGCCCAGGCCCGGATCTTTGCGCTCCTTGTTCTTGATGTCCATGTTGAAAGCCTCGCTCTCGAGGAACAGCTTCAGGTCGCCGTCATGCTGCAGCACCGGGTGGGCGGCTGACTTGTTGAGCATGCGCTCGAGGGCGGCGCGGCGAGACTCGACAAAGTCGGCATCGAAGCGGCCCACGGCCTGCTTCTCCGGGGGCGGGGGGATAATGACACCGGGATTGTTGTTGTGCAGCTGGTTGTACAGCCAGAGAAAGTCGCGGTAGCGGCGCGAGACGGTAAACTCGGGGTTGCGGTAGCCCTTGGACGTCGTCTTGGTCGTGACCGAGTACTCGGTGTGGGAGCTCGTCAGGTCGCCCACCTTGTGGGGGTCGCCGACCGAGATGGAGAACGAGGGCTTCGCGGCCTGCTCGACGCTGACGCTGGGCTGTGTCTGGCGCTGGGGGGCGGGGTGCGAGGGCGCCTGGACGGGGGGCGGTATGCGGGCGCCTTGCGAGGAGCGCAGCTGGTCGTCGTCGTTGTCGTCGAGGTCGACCGAGTCCATCATGCCACGCAGCGAGGGCGTCGAGGCGGCCCCTGGCGCGCGGCTGGTGCGCGCAGCGGCCTCCTTCTGGGGCGGGGCGGGGGGAGCAGCGACGGCGGGCTCGGGGCCTGAGTCTGGTGTTGAGGCTCCCAGCGGGCCCAGAGGATCCTCGACGGCCTCGAGCTTGGTCGACTGCACGCCGTGAGGACGCCGCCTCGGGCCGCGGCCAGCAGGCGAGCGCGGTGCAGACGAAGCCGAAGGGGCGGCAGCATCGGCGGCGAGCGTCGCGGCGGGTGCAGGCGAGTCTGTTTCGCGGCCTTCGTCGTGCCCAAGTTGCTTGGAAGCACCGAGCCCAGGGCTCGACTGCGAGGGCACATCTGGCAGCGGGTCAGTCTGGCGCCGTGTCGGGGGAGGCGGGGGAGGAGATACCGCCCCACGGCGAGCTTTCGGCGTCGCCCAGATCCATTGGGAGGTGTGCGTGGCGATGCGGTGGCGGCGATGGTGTTGGAGCGAGGGAGCGTGGGAGCGAGTGGCCGTGGTGGGACAATGTGATGTCGCATCCGTCGCCGGCTATGACATATTACTTCGCTAGTCGCAAACGGGCTCCTCTGCGGCATGCACATGCGACCACTCTCGATTCTACCCTCCAAATACATGCCACGTCTATCCAATGTCTATAGTAACCCTCACAAACTAGCCCGGTCCAGGCTCACCTTGCCGTGCTCACACGTATAGCAAATCTTGCCGTCCATGGACCCCAGCCGCATCGTCCCCATTATCAGCCCCATGCGCTTCCCTAGGTTCACCACCCAGCTCTCCACAAACACGGTCGATCCCAGCGGTGCCGGCCTCAAATACGTGCAGTTGACTTTTACGCCCGTCAGCAGTCTTCTCGCACATGTGCGCACGGCAAAGGGCCAAGCCGAGGACCCTGATATACCACGTGCATGCCGCATATCAGAAGTAGCAAAACTTACTACTCGACTGTTAGCAACACATCCTCTCTCTTCGCTCACTGCAGAACCTACCGATTCCGTGAAACATGCCCAGCATCCCAGAAGCCTTCTTTCATACACGGCGAAACCGTCAGCGACGTCACGCGGTCAAACACCATGGCCACGGCACCCCCGTGCATGTTGCTCAGGACGTTGCACATTTCCTGCGGGACCACGAAGCTGAAGACGGTGCGCGCATTATGCGGGTGTTCCTTTGACGGTTCATACGTGACGGATTCCAGCTTGAGGATCTTGTAGAGGATGGCGTCATGGCACTATGGCACTGGGTATTAGAGACATAATTAATACAAACACATGGGGCTTTTTTAAAAGCAAGTATGACGTGCGTTGTATTCGTGTGTAGCCGCTACTTTAAACTATAAACACACAAAGGGGGGGTTGAGCGTCAGCAAAGCCGTGATGAAGGGTTGGACAGGACGTATTATAACCAACCCAATGAGCAACCTTGTCGTATGCCGGCGCAGACAGGTCGCCTACCATGCTCAGCACTCGCTTTTTGATTGCGTCTGCCATGTTGGAATATCGAGAAAGTTGGAGAGATTTATTGTAACTGCGAAAGATAGGGACAAGTAATAGTCTGGACAACGTGTATATGACGGGAGAATAGCCCCTAGCATAGGATAAGCATTTATACGTATATAGATAGTGTAGATGGGAATGGGCCAAAAAAGGGACCTCGGCATATCCATCCCACGCTTTCATTTTGGCGCTAAACCCCGTCGAGTCGAAACATTCGAAATTCCCAATTTCTAATTCCACACTTGCCCATGTCCTAATTGCATGCGCGCAAAACAACGATAAACCGCACGACGCCTTTATTTCCCGCAGCGATTCCTGCTCTGAGATTGCTCTCTCCGACAAACCACGCCATGGACGCCTCACTTCTCCTCCGCCAAATCCTGCGCATGCCCCCCGCGCATCGCACCGCCCTCCTCCAGCCCATGATGCGCCCTCAGCCACGGTCTTTGTGCTCACTCCAGCAAGCCTCGTTCTCGCGCCACCTCTCCATCCCGCGCATCATTCAGCCCAGCTTCTGGGCGTCCATGATCCCCAAGCCCCTGCGCCCCAGCACCACCGACCCAGCGAGTCCGCCCCGCGCCCCAAAGGACTGGAACCCTGCTACGCCCTACATCATCCTCGGCCTGCTGGTCGGCAGCCAGGCCATCCAGATTCTGTGGCTGAAGCAGGAGCGCGGACATGAGATGCGGAGGGCCGAGGCAAAGATTGGTATCTTGAGGGAAGTCATTGAGCGGGTGCAGAGGGGTGAGAAGGTTGATGTTGAGGGCGTCTTGGGGACGGGGGATGCGGTTCAAGAGGGGGAATGGAAGAAGGGTGAGTTTTTTCTTCTGTTTACTGTTCAATGTGTTGCTTTATATGGCCAGATGTGAAGGAGATAGTTAATGCATGACTAACACGAATGTAGTGCTGAAAGACATCCAAGATGAAGAAGCGCTGTTTCAGAGCAAAAAGAAGAGAAGGGCGATGAGGGAAAAGGCGCTCAGGGAACAAGAAGAAGCGGCAGCAGCGAGTGATGCAGGAGAAAGTGCGGATAGAGCAAAGGCAAAGGCGAAGATGGAGGTGGAGAGTTTGGGTGGAGTCAAATTCTACTGAGCCAGTTCAGGAAAATGAACCAAGAGTTGGCTGAGGAAAAGAGAAGGAAAACATGAATCAATGGGTATACCGACCGCAACTCCGGCAATATGCATGTGGCTCTGGCGATATGCATGTGGGGATCCAGCCCACTTACTCCAGCAAAAGAGATGCCCAGCAAAACCCATATACGACTTGACCCGGATGAACACCAAACAAGAAAGAAGCAGAAGAAGAACAAAGACACAAAAGACCAGAGAAATCAAATCGACCCCGAAACAGACACATGGCACCTCACTCATCCTCGTCCTCATCCTCCTCCTCAAGCACCAAGTTCCTAGCAGCCCTCAGTTTCCGCCCTCGCTTCTGATTGCCCGCGTTATTCGAGAACTTGGTGAATCCCCTCGCCTCAGGATTATCACACAGCAGCGCGAGCGTAATACCGCCCCTAACCGCATCATCAACCGCGGCCTTCTTCTGCTGCAACACCATACAGATGCGCGCGAGGCGGCGCTCCACGCTATTCTCACTCACATCCACAAGCCGGCCACGCACAACCTTCTTGTGGTATATGACGGGCTTGGTCCAGCCGCGCTCGTGCACCGCGAGCGCGGCATCGAACACATGGTGCGCCGCGGCTTCGAGATCGAGTGGATCGAAAACGGCTTCTTGCTCGAAGCGCGCGCGGTGGATCGATGAGGGACCGTCGGTTATCTGCGAAATGTCGATCATGGACGTGTAGATGCGACGCACCCAGTATCGGCCTGTAACAAATCAGCTTCTTTTAACGTGGAAAGAGAGAGGGAACGGGAGAGGGAGAGCGAGTACTTACGTCCGTGGGCCCTGACGCGCGCGATATCCGCGGCTTGAGACTTGGGTGGGAAGCGTCTGCGTCGCCGGTGCTGTCGTGCTTGCGGGCCCGTGGCAAAGTGGTGCGTGTATGCTGGGTACAGCGGCGTTGGGGCGTTGGGGTCAGGTGGGAAAATGCCTTCTTGCGTGAGGGGATGGTATGTGAGTTCCGTCAGCATGGAATCGTCCATGTTGGCGTTGATATTGCCGTTTCCGTTTCCGTTTCCATTGCCATTCGTGTACGGCGCCGGCGCAGCAAGAAGCGGAGGACCCATGGGAGGCATAGGAGGCATGGGAGCCTGCATATGCGGAAAGAAAGACGGAGCAGATCCTGGTGCCAATGCTGGATTCAACGCTGCAATCGGTCCTGGCGCTGACACGGGACGAGGAACTGACGCTGGTGCAGAAGAAGCAATTCGATGCTTGTCCTTGCGTTCGAAGCCGAACTTGTACATGACTTTTTCGTAATGGGAATCTTTGTCCTGTGGCGCCATGGTTTGGAGGTTGGGGAAGGGCTTGTTGGGCGCGAGGATGTTGATGAGACGTTGTTCTTCTGCGGTGTTTGCAGTGTTGTCTTCGTTGTTGTCGTCGTCTTCGCCATCTTCGTATTCGTAGTGTTCGTCGCCATCCTCATCTTCGTCTTCGTCTTCGTCTTCTTCGTCTTCCTCACCCTCTTCAGCACTATGATGAGACGCCTGCGTCCCATGCTCGCTTCCATGCTCTTCCTCTTCCTCATGCTCTCCTTCCTCCTCGTCCTCGTCCTCTTCTTCTTCTTCTTCTTCTTCCTCGTCCTCGTCCTCCTTCTCCTCCTCATCCTCAGCCCACTGTGCCAAACCCCCACCCCCCGCATCCGCATCCAGATCGCGGAAGAACGAATCCATGCCACCAAGTCCCATGCCGAAAAAAGGATCAAATAGCGACTCGTCGAGGCCAGCGTACCCCGTGAAGTCGAAGAACGGGTCGAATTCTGTTGGGGGAGATGTGGCGTTGTTGTTGTTGTTGTTGTTGCTGTTGGCGTTGGCAGGATGGGTGTTCGGGTTATCGTCGCTGTCGTTGTTGTGGTGGTTGTCGTTGACATGTCCAGCATGTCCAGCATGCCCACTGCCACTCCCCAGCACCCCAAAGTCCGCACCAAAAGGATTATTCCATCCACCCAGCTCTTCTTCTCCGTCTCCTTCTCCCAGCCCCAACCCCAATCCCAGCCCCGGACTCAGCATTCTCTCAAACGGACTTCCCAGACCGACCGGCGGACTAGGAGGCTGTGGAGGCGAGTTCCCAGTACCAGCACGACCAGCATGACCGGCACCAGCGGTAGGAGACGAAAACGATGCCATTGTTGTCGTCGTCGTTGTTGTTGTTGTTGTCGTTACGTTGGAACCGAGATAGAAGCACAGGACAGCGGTACCAGACCAAACCTACTCAAGAGAAAGTCGAAAACGAGGAGTAAGAAAGCGACGAATCCAGCGTCAATTGGAAAAGCAAAGAAGTATAAGAAATCAAGATGCTGATGTTGATCTCGAATCAATTGTGTATGAGATGTGTAAAAAGACGATCCAGCGTCCAGCGTCTGTCCAGCGTCCAGAGAAGAAGAAGTGCCCAGCATCTGTCCAGCAAAAGAAGAAGAAGAAGAAAGAAGTAGATACAAAAACCGACGACACGGACGAACCAAAGGAACCCAAGACAGAGAGAGAGAGAGGCCGAGTTTTTATACAAGGTCCCAGCGACTAGGCAAGAACAAGGAACTAATCAAGCAGACAATACTAGAATAGTAGCAATTCATAGTGACAATACCTTTTCATGCCAAGATAGTTACGGATCCACAGATCCACAGATCCACTCACTCACTTACTCCAACGTAGCGCGCTTTTCTAATTCATCTTCATCTTATTCATCTTTCATCACGAGGTTACTTTGCTATTGTCTGAATTAAGCAAGAATACAAGATTCATGCGTTAATCAAGAGTGAGGTGAAGTGAAGTGGAGAATAAAGTGGAGGCAATGATATTGTTTTGAGCGTTGAAGTGAAGTGAAGTGAACAGACGTAAGTGAACAGACGTAAGTGGAGCAAGTGAAGAGTGAGAAGTCGAGTCGAGTCGGGTCGAAGTGAAGCGCGAGAAGCAGTGAAGAGCAAGTGAAGAGCAAGTGAAGAGCAAGTGAAGAGCAAGTGAAGAGCAAGTGAAGAGCAAGGCCAAGCGCGAGAAGTGGAGTCGAGGATTAGAATAGAATAGAACAGAATAGCTAGCTAATATATCGATAGCCCTATATGCATTTTCATATTGCATACATACATAGTATTGTACATGATACATTATACATACATTGTCAAGTAAACCAGTGAATCACCATGTAATCACTGCGCAATAGTGGCTAAGAGTGAGCGAGCAAGAGTAGCCAAGTACATCCATGAATCAGTAAACAAGACTGACTTAAGCGCGCGATAATCGGCGGCGCGTCAAGCAAAGCAAAGCAAAGCAAGGACGAGAAGAAAAAAAACGTTTTATTGTGGCTCAAGTGGCGGCGAGAAGGGATGGGGAAATTTACTTGTGTTTAGTTTTTGTTTGACGAAGATGGGATGAGATGAGATGAGATGAGATAGACAGACGGATAGACAGATGGATATATGGATAGGAGAGAGACAGCCCGGATAGGAAGAGACAGATAGAAGAGACACTGCATTGCTGCGCTCACGAATACACATGCACATATACATACATACACATACATACATACAGCAGTAGGTTTTACACACACACACACACACACACACACGAAGCATCAAGGACAGCCACATCAAGAACCCGACAATGCAGAGAGATGAAGAAGATGAAAATAAAGAAGAAGAAGCAGAAAACTGCAAACATTACGCCAGACGAGGTTTGCTTGTCTACAGAGAGCCATTTGTGAGTATATGTAAAAAAAACAAATACAAAAAAACAGATACAGCTTAGATAAACAAGAGAACCCCTAACAAGGCAAAAAAAACAAAAAAAAATAAAACACTACATGCATGGTAGGCTCGTAATACACATTACGCGTCTTTGGACGACCGAATCTACAAGTCATCTGCGGCATGGAAAAGGCGGTTGTTGCTGTTCGAGGAGGGGGAGGAAGGGGAGGAGGAGGGCCAGCGCAGTTGGTATATATAGAGAGCATGTGTGTGTGTGTGTGCGCCCGTCCCAAAAGTACAAGTAGAGAGAGAGAAAAAAACGAACTGCTCCAAACAATTCGGCAGCTCAAAACCCTTCACAAGCGTTTATATACCAACAATCCAAAAGCCCGATGAGGAAATTTGACACAATCATCAGAGATAAAAACATGACGTGGTAGGGCCCGCGCTTAGCGAAAAGAGGCAAAAAAAAAAACAAAGTGGTATAAAACAGGGGAAGAGGGTTTTTCCCCACCCATCCAAGGCATGATATATGATGGACAACGAGGGAAAGAAAAAAAAGAAATATTGCAGCTTAGTTGGACGCTAAACGCAATGTCCAGGAGCCCAAGTCTACAAGTAGACGAAAAAGAAAAAAAGTCTGCCATGCCAAATTAATCCAGTTAAGGGGCAGACGCGGTGGCGGGGGAGGGAGCCTTCTTAGGCTTGGAGTCTTGCATCTCCGTGACGCTGTGAGCATCATCGTCCAAGTCCATATTGCTCCTCCATTTTGAGAGGGTGTCATTCAAACCAGACTTTTCGCCGTTGGATGTGCGTTCAAAGTCGAAGCGTTCACTCAATCGGTACGCCTTGTTGGTTGTTTCCCAGTGGCTTCGGAGGGCGTCCAGTTCAGACGCGAGATTGTCGAGAGCCATCGAGTTACGGGTAGCAGCAGAGTCTGGGCGGGGAATAGCTTCGGGGGTGCTGGAGCCGTCGTTGTGGCTATACAGTGACTCGCCTGAGGCTACACTGTCGTGTCCACGGTGGTGTGCATGCTCAGAACGAGCGCTGTCACCCGGAACATGTGACTGACGACGGTAGTTGTCGACTGATGTTTCAAACTGATCTAGGAACAGTTGCACTCGGCTTTCGGCTTCGCGTGCACGCTCCTCGACTTGGGCATGTTGGCGGCGGAGCGCCTCAAGGTCAGTCTGGAGCTGAGTGACCTGGTTCTCCGCTTGCTTGGTGGCAGCAGCCGCCGTCTCAGCGTCAGCACGGGCAGAGGCTAGTTCCTTCTGTAGTTGAGAAAGCTGGCCCTCGAAGCGAGCAACAGTAGCCTTCATAGCCTCCTGCGTCTTTGATAGTTCCGAGCGAAGCTGAGTGCGTTCCGTCTCCCACTCTGGGTTTTCGGCATTGCGTGCTTCTTGCCTCTTCAGGGACAGCTCTTCTTCAAGCTTGTGGTTCACGCTCTTATAGCGATCAAGCTCCTGCTTCATTTTGGTGAGCATCTTCTCAGTACCCCGGAGGTATTTGACAGCGGCTTGGTGGTCGTTGTGCAGCGCCTGCAGCTTCTCCTCCCACTCCTTGCTGACCTCGTGCTCACGCTCTTCGAATACAACACGTAGCTCTTCGTGTGCCTTGTTCATGGCATCGACTTGCTGCTCGAGCTCCCGGACGCGGTTCAGCTCCGGAGTACCAAACCTGGAGCTGGGGCTATCCATGACCTTTGAGCGGCGCGCGTCTACAGGATTGACACCCCTTTCATCGAGAAGGTTACGCAGTGTTTTGAGCTGTACTTCGAATGCATTGCTCTCGAGGCGCAGACGCTCGTGCTGTTGGTGCAGCTCGCTCTTTTCAACTTCGGAAAGCTGCGCATCTCGCATAGCCTGCTGTAGCTGTTTGCGGATGGTAAGTCCCTCACGGCTAGACTGCTCTTGATACGCCTCCAAACCGGCAATGCGTTCCTCTGCTCGGCGAAGCTTTTCTGAGGCCTGATCGGCGGCCATCTGGTTCTTGCGTGCCATGGAGCTCGCAACTTCGAGTTGCTGTTGTAGCACAGCGACGCGCTCGTCCGTGTTTGCTCCGTCTTGTTCGGATCGCTCCGTCATGCTTTGCAGACCTGAAAAGACCGCTTCCCGATGAATGCGTGCCTCCTCTGCGTGACTCTCGGCCAGCTCCTCGGCGTCGCGAAGCTTTTGCGTAATCGTCTCCAGCTCTGTCATGCGGGCTTCGTGCTCACTGCGCAACTGGCTAAGCTTCTGGCGGAGCGAGTCACTCTGCTCTCGCTCCTCGCTGAGCTTCTTCTCGAGCAATGTCGTCTTTTCTGTAGACGCAACAACGGCATCGCGTAGCGATTGGATAATGGCGGTCTGAGCCTTGAATTCCTCAGAGGTCTTGGCGAATTTGGCGCTCAGTTCCTGCTTGTCAATGGCCAAGAGCTTCGCCGACGACTCGGCCTCTGCGGCGCTCGTAGAAACGTCTCTCGCTACTCGCTCCGCTTCATGAAGCTCTGCACGCAGGCGCTCCGATTCGGCAGTAGCCTTTTGTCGTGTCGAATCCAGCTCATTCACGCGTTTCTGCGCAGCTTCCGCAGTCTCCTCTGCCAGCTGTTTCGCCCTTATTTCGGCCTCGACTTGGCGTGACAATTGCTCGACCTTGGTCGTGAGTTCGGCCTGGGCAGCTATGGCGGCGGCCAGTCGGCGATTGGTGTCATGGAGGCGGTCAGCGTCAGGCGTGTCCACGTTTCGAGGCCCGTCAGGCTGCGGCGTCCCGCGCTGGCTACCGCCTCCGTGAGCGGCCAATTTGGTCTTGGCGTATATGGCTTCGCTGACGGCTGCGTCTCGCTGTCTTTCCACTTCGGCAATCCTCTTTGCTGCGTCCTCGGCCTGAGACCTGATGGACGCCTGCACCCGCTCCATCTCCGTCTTCATTTTGAAAAGCGCTTCCAGCAGTGGTTTGTCCTCATCGCGAAAGGAATCGGTCGATCGCTCGTCAAAGACGGGGCTCGTCGAAGCACCAGCGTTGTAGCCCGCCCTGCGCGCCAGGGCCAGTTCCGAAGCGTACCATGCATTGCTGCTCTTGAGATGCTCGAGTTCTCGAACCAGCTCGGCGTTGCGCTGGTCAGTCACGGGGGAAGCCTGTTTGGCACTGTCGGTGCGCACATGCTCAGCCTCCCTGCTTGGGCCGCGGTACTGCTGCTGTGACTCGACCGACTGTCGTATGGAGCTGTCTATGCTCTCTTGAGAAGGCTGCTGGTTATGGGATCTTGCCGTGTTTCGCGAAACCGAGCTGGCGGATCGCGTCGTGTCAATCGACTCCTTGGGCGTCCGACGGCCCCCAGCCTCGGGTGTTTTCCGTCCCATTTCGGTCGCGAGTGGACTGTCGCGTGTTGGTTGCGACACGTTTTCCCTGTTCACAGCGGATGCAGCACCGGTATCGACAGGGGGGCCATAGCTACGCTCGTTCTTGGTGGGAGTTCTACTCCTGGATTTGGCACTGTTCTCCCGTGGCTGTGGCGGTTGCTGCTGCGGTGGCGGGCCTGGTGGCGACTGAACAGCTGCGCGTGGCAGCCGCGATGCTCCGGACAAGGCTCCGTTGGTCATGTTGTCTGAAGATCTTGAAAGTTGCGAGGTCATTGGGCTTTCGCGTACTGGAGGCGATCCGACTTTAGGGGCCATGTTGCTTTTTTCACCACCACTCATTTTACGCTGCGTGGTGGGCGGAGGCGCACTCTCGTTGGGCGGGTACCGGATCTTGGATGTGTCGAGGATATAGCTGAGACTGAGCTCGTTCCTGTCGCTGGCAGACGAACTAGGCTCGCCAGCAAGAACGACAATGTGCTTCCCAAACGCAGTCATACTGTGTCCAGATCGAGCCGAAGGGGAATGGCCCATGTTTTGAAACATGTACCAGCGGCGAGAAGAAATGCGAAAGGCGGCCAGGTCACCGAGATCGAGTCCTTCTTGCGTGCGTCCGCCAAAGATGTACATTGTGTCGTTGACGAGGGCGGCTGAATGACCCTCACGGGCAACGGGAATGTAACCAATACAGTCAAGCTCAGTCCAAAGATTGGTGCGCGGGTCATATGTCCAGACATCGTTGAACCACGTAATACCGTCTGTGCCACCAAACCTGATACCAGTCAGCAGACAGAAATGCGGGCGTGCAGCCAGCGCGACACGTACAGATAGAGTTTGTCGTTCCAAGTAACGACGGAGTGGTTGGTGCGGGCCTGTGGCGATTTGTTTTGGGGAGACACCTGCTCTTTTGTGTTTGGCAGCAGCACTTCCCAGCGGCTTGCCGACGACTGCAGCGAGTTGAGGTCAAAGGCGACCAGGTCGTTGAAGAAGAAGCCCTCGACCTGGCCTCCGAAGATGTAAATCTTGGAGCCCAAGATGTTGAGCGTGTGTCCATAGCGGCCAGTGGGACGTGGACCTTGGGGCAGTGCGCGCGACCAGTGTTTCGTTGCTAGAGCCTGTCAGTGGGAGCCAAGAGCTGTCAAGGGGGGGGGGGGGTGGACATGCAGGTGTTGAGGAGATAGAGGGTATCGTCGAGGTCGTCGTTGTCAGCCAATTTTGTGTCTCCGCCGAATACAATAAACGCGTTGCCAACCAGCAGACTAGCATGCCCGACACGCGGGCCGGGGCCATCGCCCGTCGTGGCAATGGGATAGCACGTCATGCTGCCGTTGCCCATTTCGGTCAGCCACAGGTCGCCCTTGACCGTCGCGCCGCCGACGAGTCCTCCCATGAGATAGATGGTGCCATCTTTCGAGGCCGTGGAATTGATGGCTGCGCCGTACCGCGGAAACGGATTGCCCGATGTGAAGTTGAGGCGCCGCGACGACCAGGGGTAGGGCGAGTCGACGGCGTTGGAGACGGACCTGGCATTCGTATTCTGCAAGGGGTCAGCACACATGGAGGCAGAGGGGGAGAGGGCAGGGCAGGGCAGGGCAGGGCGCACCTGGGGGTTTGCGTCTGTCTTTTCGCGCAGAGCCTTAGGCTCGGGCGCTTGCGCACTTAGAGCATTCTGGAGAGAGCTCAGGGAATTATTGGCGCTGCCGCCAGGGGTCGACGTCTGGGCTGGGGGGCCGCCGCGCGACTTTTCAGCGTCGCGGATGTTGTTTGCTCCATTCGACGTCGAGGGCTGGTGGCCGGGGCCATGTGACGACGAGATGTCTCTTGTGGCTGGGGGGAGCGCGTTGGCGGGCTGTTGTGGCGCTTGTTGTTGTTGCTGCTGCTGCTTGTTCTTCTTGCCGAAGAGAAAGGACATGGCGTCGGGAGTGCTGCTCGAGCGGAGTTGCAATGGCAGCTGGGGCCTATCGCGCAGGCATTCGGGTTGCGATGGGGGCGGGCGTGGTGGTGGTGGATGGGCTGGGGTCGGGGGAATGGAAGCGGCGCGGCGGTGGTCGTGGTCGTGGTCGTGCGAGAGTCGTGGATGGCCGTCGTCGTGTCGTGGATGGAGTGCCGGTCGTGGGTGCTAAACGTGTCTCTCTCTCCCTGCCTGCTGCTGCTACTAGTACCAAGCGGAGTGACGGACGGGGGGGCGCGCGCCTGTCACAGTGGCGTGGGGGGTAGCGGGAACAATGTACAGAGGGAGAGAAGACCAGAGGGCGTTGGGGAGGAGAGTGGTGGGATGGGACAGGTTGGGGTGGACGGTGCCGGGCCAGGGCCTTGGGTGCTCTGGGGGCTTTGGGTGCTTTGGGTGCTTTGGGATGGTTTGATTTGGTTTGATTTGATTTGGCTTGACTCGGGCCAGGGCAGGGCAGCGCAGCGCAGCACAGCAGGGCAAAGCACAGCTCTCTCAACGGACAAGGGAAACGCGACTTGACGGCCTCCCATGTCTGGCGGCGGCGTGCCAGCAACGGTCGGCGGCTTGGGCGTGGTTGGCGGGGGCGCATTGTGCCCCCGGCGCCCCTGAGAAGTGGCCGCGACGATCAGCGCCCGCCGACGAGGCCGCGCATTGGCTGTGTCGCCGCGTTCCTGGTGCGTACCTGTGCCTGCAGCGTGCAATCTGTATGTATGCGCACTCGCGCCCCTCCATGCAGTACAGGTACAGTGCACATGACAGGCCCTTCTTTTGGGGCGTCTGCTGGTAATACTGCTGCCCGCCCACGGCATACATACACACACACACGGCGGATGAGACGAACCGAAATGCCATGCCGTGGCTCACGAGGATTGCAATGCGCGGGCCGAGTCTGCCGTTGCTTCTGCATGCGTGTGTGTGTGTGTGCCTGTATGCGTGTGCGTGTCTCTTTTGCCCGTCTCGCCCACCGCGCTCATGTGTCTCTTTGCCTCGCTCCCGGTGTGCCCGATATGGATTGATGCGGTATACATGTGCCTGTGTGCCAGAGGCTGTCTCGCTGGGCCGCTCACCGCCATGCCTGTTTGGGCCTAGCGTGACAGCAACCTCGACCTGGGCTGGTCCAACGTCGACGTGCAGTTATCGCGACATGGCGCATGCGAGCACCTGACCCCGGCTCCTACCTCACTCGCCTCGTACATATATACACAAACACCATACACATACGCTCTCTCTCTCTCTCTCTCTCTTCTCCTTCCCTCCCTCCGCCACCAGCGTGCCCCCCGCGCTCTGTGCGCCCACCACGCCTCCCGCTATGGGCGCCGCCAACTCCGTCACTGCTCGCCGTAGCTCATGATGCGAACTGCCACCCATCCCAACCCGCTTGCCCTGCACGCCCCCGCCACTGCTGCCACTGCTGCCACTGCCACTGCTACTGCTGCTGCTGCCCTCGAAGCCCCCGCCATGAACGGCTCTGCCTCCGCCTCTGCCTCCGCCTCCGCCTCGCATCTGCAGCTGCCGCCCTCGGACCCGCCCTCGCTCGCCCTGCGCCCCAACACGGCCGTCGCCGCCAATGCCTCGACTGCCCCCGACCCAGACGAGCCTGCACAACCCCAGCGCCCGGCCTCCTCGGGCCCCCAGACTGCCCGCCCTGGCTACGCGCGCGCAAAGAGCGACTTTGGCCCTCGCCATGGCCCCATCCCCCCCGACGCCGCCGACGACGACAGCGTCGACGGCCACTTCAAGATCCGCCACGGCTGGGACGACCAATTGAACTCGGAGGAGTACAGCAACCTGCTCACCTCCAACTTCTTCATGTACTACACGGACAAGAAGCACGAGACGGGCGGCCACCCCAAGAACGAGCATGGCGCCTTTCCCGTCCAAGAGTGGCGCATGCGAGACCGCCTCAAGACCGTCTCGGCCGTCCTCGCCCTCTGCCTCAACATCGGCGTCGACCCGCCCGACGTCATCAAGACGAATCCCTGCGCAAAGGAAGAGTGCTGGATCGACCCCACCGTCACGTCGCAGACGCCCGGCCACACCCCCATGAACCAGATTGGCAAGGCCCTGCAGACGCAGTACGAGCAGCTGAGCATGCGCACCCGCTACAAGCTGCTGCTCGACCCCACGACCGAGGAGACGCGCAAGTACACTTCGACGCTGCGCCGCAATGCCCGCAACGAGCGCGTCCTGTTCCACTACAACGGCCACGGCGTGCCCAAGCCCACGTCGTCGGGCGAGATCTGGGTCTTTAATAGAAACTACACACAGTACATTCCCCTGTCGCTTTACGACCTGCAGTCCTGGATCGGCGCCCCCAGCCTCTTTGTCTATGACTGCTCCGACGCCGGCCTCATCATCACCAACTTCAATCGCTTCGCTGAAAAACACCAGGCCGAGTTTGAAGAGGCCCGCCGACGAGACCCCAGCGTCGAGCACGTCGACTTTGGCGACTGCATCCATCTGGCCGCATGCAGGGAAAAGGAGTCGCTTCCTACCAACCCAGAGCTGCCTGCTGATGTTTTTACTTCGTGTCTAACCGATCCCATCACCATGGCCGTGCGCTTCTTCATCTTGCAAAACCCTCTTCCCAGCAAAGTCAGCCTCCGCGATGCTCACAACATTCCAGGCAAGGTCTCTGAGCGTAGAACGCCCATTGGCGAGTTGAACTGGATCTTCACAGCCATTACTGACACAATTGCATGGAACTCGCTTTCCAAGCCCTTGTTCAAGAAGCTGTTCCGCCAAGACTTGATGGTCGCAGCCCTCTTCCGCAACTATCTGCTCGCACAGCGCATCATGCGTGCCTACCACTGCCATCCCGTGTCGCATCCTGAGATTCCCCAGACACACAACCACCCGCTCTGGCGCAGCTGGGATCTTGCGGTTGAGCTCATCTTGGCCCAGCTGCCTGATCTCCAGGCAGAGGCGAGCGGCGAGCGCGAGTACAACTACAAGCACTCTGACTTTTTCTCAGAGCAGCTGACTGCCTTTGAGGTGTACCTGACCCAAGGCGCCGTCGAGCAAAAGGTTCCCGAACAGCTTCCTATAGTGCTGCAAGTGTTGCTTAGCCAGGTTCACCGACTGCGTGCACTGATTCTGCTCTCGAGCTTCTTAGACCATGGCCCTTGGGCTGTCAATCTTGCCCTCAGCATTGGCATTTTCCCCTATGTGCTCAAACTACTGCAATCACAGGCAAACGAGCTCAAGCCCGTCATGGTCTTCATCTGGGCTCGCATTCTTGCTGTCGATCAATCGTGCCAAGCCGACCTCCTCAAAGACAATGGCTATCAGTATTTTATCAGCATATTCAATCCAAATTCGGGTACATTGACAAGCAATTTCTTCGCGCTCTTCATTGGCTAAGTCAAGCAGGTATTCCAATCCAAAACGCCAGCGAGCACCGCGCCATGTGCGCCTTTATCATTTCCATGTTCTGCAAGGACTACAACCAAGGACAGCGCGCCTCGCTCAACACAGAGCTGGTGGAGAGCTGCCTGGACCACCTCAAAGATATGCAGAACCCGCTGCTGAGACAGTGGTCGTGTCTGTGCCTGAGTAAGCTCTGGGTCAACTACGAAGAAGCCAAATGGGTCGGCATACGCTGCATGGCGCACGAACGCCTGTGCGAGCTTGTCGTAGACCCCGTCGCCGAAGTCCGTGCTGCCATGCTGCATGCGTTGGCCTCGTTCCTGGGTATCCGTGACGTTACGCCCCAGGTGGCTAACATTGAAGAGTCGATTGCTTCCATGATTCTCGTCATGACAATGGACGGCAACAGCATGGTGCGCAAGGAATTGCTCATCTTCTTCTCGACATTTGTTGCTCGCTACAAGAGCCGCTTTGTCGTCGCCGCGTTCGAACAGCTTTCGGAAGAGAACACAGACTCGAAGCAATCAGATGACAAGGCTGGTGAAGGACACGGAAAGAACCGGAACGGAGGCGCAGGCAGTGTCTCCGAGTCGTCGTCCTGCTCGCAAAATACCATATACGCTGCGATATGGAAGGAGCTGCTGGTCATGTCGGTTGATCCGTACCCCGAAATCGCCCGAGATGCTGGAATTGTCGTCGACTACATTCTGATGGCGTTGATGGAGTCGTCCCTTTCCAAGTTTGTACAAACGCAGCTGGATGAAACCCTTCAGCACGTGCCGGCACCTCGTCCAATGCGTCGCGCAGCAGAGGAAGGCCCTGCCCCTCAAAAAGCCTCCAATCCCCCAACCCCCACAAAAGACTCTACATATCTGTCTCTGTTTGGTGGCATCAGAAAGTCTACAAGCGTGGGTGCTTCGCTCAAGAACCTCTGGACTGGCCAAGATTCAGCAAGCCGCAGACAGAGCATGGTGGGAAGAGCAGGTGGGGAGGGTTCTCAGATGCCTGCTCTATCCCGACCTCAGACACCAGAAAAGTATCATGTCGAGGAGCAACCCACGTCTCGGGGGTTCAAGAACCGTGACTTGTCTGAAAAGCCGGAAATACCACTGAAGAGCGTCTTTTTCGAATGGTCTGTGGAATACTTTAGAGAGCCGCAGATGAAACCTACAGAAGCCGATGAGCCCGGAAGTACAGACTACAATGGCAGGCTGTGGCGCAGGAACCGTAACGACAAGATCATTGCTGAGACCCAGCCGCTAAAAGACATTGCTGTTACCAATCGTTGGGATGTGCCTCGCGGTTATGTGGATAACCTCAGCCAACCGGCAAAGATGTGTTTCCACCAGTTCGAGGATCATCTCGTCGTGACGGATACGCGTGACACAGTCAACATCTTTGACTATTCCAAGTCTGTCAATCGCATCAATAGCTTCTCAAACGGAAACCCGCCTGAGTCAAGAATCACAGACGTGCGCTTCATCAATGAAGACGACCAGGCACTGTTGATGACTGGGTCTTCGGATGGTGTCATCAAAATTTTCCGTAACTACGACCGCAAAGGAGAGACGGAATTGGTTACCGGGTTCCGTGCCCTGACAGATCTGGTTTCAAGCAACAAGAATGCCGGACTCGTCTTTGACTGGCAGCAAGGCAGGGGCTTAATCCTAGTCGCTGGTGATGTCAAGGTCATTCGGGTATGGAATGCCGGAACTGAAGTATGCACGAATGTGAGTTGTATCCTTGATCGACTAATCTTACTGTGACTAACCCAGGCAGGATCTCCCGGCGCGGTCCGGTTCTTGCATTACATCCTTGACGTCGGATCAGGTAGAGGGCGATGTGTTTGTCGCTGGCTTCGGGGACGGCGCCATACGTGTGTACGATCAGCGCCAAAAGCCAGCTACTGCCATGGTCAAGGTTTGGAAAGAGCACAAGCAGTGGATCACCAATGTCCACCTACAGCGTGGCGGACAGCGCGAGCTTGTCAGTGGCTGTCGCGGTGGTGAGGTGAAGCTATGGGATATCCGTTGGGATCGGAGTGTGAAGACGATCCAGGCAACTTCCGACACTCTGAGGACACTGAGCGTCCATGAACATGCTCCGGTATTTGCTACGTAAGTGTCTATTTACATCCCAAAACAACTTGCATACTGACTCTCTCAGTGGCACGCAGCGACACCGGGTCAAAATCTTCAACCTCAACAACGGCCAAGCTGTATCCCACCTTGAGCCTTATTCTGGTTTCCTTCGGGACCGTTCTTCGCCTATATCAGTCACTGCTTTCCATCCCCATCGCTTAATGATTGCCGCTGCAGCAGCACACGACACGCACGTCAATATTTTCTCATGCCACGAGCCCAAGAACTCGACGGTCAAAACCGTCAAACTCTGGGAGGGAGGTGCTACAGCGTCAAGTCGGTCGTCAATTCACGGGTAATTAATGTTTTCATTGTACTTTTGTGCCTGACATACGGGAAGCGATTACGACATGTACAACATGGCAGGGCACAGCTTTGAGCATTGGAGCAAGCGGGTTGCATTGTTTTACGGCGTGCTGCAGGGCTCCTTGAAGACGCATATTTTTATTATACCCAGCCAAAGTAATCAGTAGTTCGGTGTGAATGGATGCATTTCTTTGCAGCATGGCGTGAGCAAACAAGGCAACTTGGCTATGACGCCGCGGGGATGGCGGGGGCTGTGATTCATCCAGTCTGCCCCACTATCGAATTCCGCCTCGCAATTCCACACCACCCAGCTTTGGAACGCGATCCGTAGTTGAGAGTACCCAACCCAATCGCAATGAGTGACGCAGCACCAGCCGGCGGCGAGGCGCCCTCCAAGAATGCGCTGAAGAAGGCGCAGAAGGAGAAGGAGAAGGTTTGTGCTGCGGCCGTTGGTTGAAACGACTCACTAACATTGCGCAGGCAGAGAAGAAGGCTGCGGCCAAAGCCCGTGAGCTCGCTGAGCGCTCCAAGAAGGAAGCCGATGACGCGGCCGACGTATCTGCCGACTCGTATGGCGAGCTCCCTCTGATCGGATCCAAGGACTTCAAGCCCACGGGAACCCCACGCACTGACTTCACCGAGATTGCCAACAATGAGGACAAGGAGGTCACATTCCGGTGCTGGGTGGAAAATGCAAGAGTTCAGTCTGCTAAGCTTGCATTCTTGAACCTGCGCCAAAGCCTCAACACGGTGCAGGCTGTGGTTGCGGCCAGCGACAAGCTCAGCAAGCAAATGGTCAAGTTCTGTGGTAACGTCAGCACCGAGAGCACGCTGGTGGTCACAGGACTGGTCAAGCGCGTCAAGGAGCCCATCAAGAGCGCAACCATTACCGACTTTGAGATTCACATTCAGAAGCTGTTCGTCGAGGCCAGCGCCGAGATTCCGCTGCCGCTCCAAGTGTCCGATGCTGAGCGGCCCATGCCCAGCGACGCGGCGACAGAGGAGGGCGAGAAGGAGGGCGAGGGCGACGAGCGCCCGCTTGTCAGCTTGAACACCAGGTTGAACAACCGGACGCTTGATCTCAGAGCCAAGATCAACCAGTCTATTTTCGTCATCAAGAGCGGCGTGTGTGCCTTGTTCCAGGAGTTTCTGTCCAAGAAGGGCTTCATGCTGGTCCACACACCAAAGATTCTGTACGTGGTACTAATACTCTATTTCTACTCGCACTGACATGAATCCAGTGGAGCTGCTTCCGAAGGAGGCGCCAACGTCTTTGAGCTCAAGTACTTTGGCCGACCCGCCTACCTAGCCCAGTCTCCGCAGTTCTACAAGCAGATGCTGATAGCCTCGCGCTTCCAAAAAGTCATGGAAATCGGGCCCGTATTCCGCGCCGAGAACTCCAACACGGCCCGCCACCTGACCGAGTTCACCGGCCTGGATCTGGAAATGGAGTTTCAGGAAAACTACCACGAGGTCATGAGCGTCCTCGAGGATCTCATGCTCTTCATCTTCACCGAGCTCAACTCGCGCTACGCCAAGGAGACGGAGCTGGTCCGCGGCGTCTACCACGTCGAGCCATTCAAGCTGCCGGAATCGGGAAAAGTACCCAGAATCCCGTTCCAGGAGGGAATCAAGATGCTGCGTGAAGCGGGTGAGGAGCTTGGTGACTATGACGACCTGACGTGAGTTTTCATCTATCCTACACACACACACACACACACACACACACACACATCCCTTCTCTAACACTTCTGCCGCAGAACACCCCAAGAAAAACACCTGGGCCGCCTCGTCCTGGAAAAATACGGCACAGACTTCTACACGCTCGACCAATTCCCACTCGCCATCCGCCCGGCCTACACGATGCCATCGCCCGCAGACCCCGCCCTATCAAACTCATACGACATGTTTATGCGCGGCCAGGAAATCTGCTCTGGCGCCCAGCGCATCCACTCGTCTGCTCTGCTCGCCGACCAGATGCGCAAGCACGATCCCCCAATCGACCCCGCGGGCCCCGGCACAAAGGACTACGTCGATTGCTTCAAGTATGGATGTCCCCCCCATGCTGGTGGCGGCTTTGGCCTCGAACGTATCGTCCAGTTTTGGCTCGGCCTCCCCAATATTCGCATGTGTAGCTTGTTTCCCAGGGATCCGCAGAGAGTCGTGCCGTAGATATGGATGTAGGGGGGGGGGTATACTTGTGCGGGATTGGGGGGTATGCTCTCACTGCACTGCACTGCACTACAAGATGTGTGTATTGTGTATGTGTATGTGCATGTGCATGTATGGGGGGGGGAAAGAGAGAGCGAGAGTTTTGTAGAACTAGACAAGCGAAGACAAGAATTCATTAAAAAAAATACTCATATCCATCGCATAAAGACACACACACACACACACACAACTGCGCCTGAGGAAACCAATATTAATCTTATTAATGGTATTGAGTGTGTGCAGAATTCTTGCAAGTTATTTGATTTTCTTTTCTTTTCTTTTCTTTTCTTTTCTTTTCTTTTCTTTTCTTTTCTTTTCTTTTCTTTCTTTTCTCTCTCTCTTTCTTTTTCTTAAATAATAAAAAATGGGGAAAGGAGAGAGAGAGAGGGAGAGAGAGAGAGAGGGAGAGACAAAGAGAGAGAGGGAGAGCCAGGAAATTCATGCATTAGGCCTCGACTAGTAGCAAACAAATGCACCGCTACAAAAGTTTTTTTTTCTAGAGAAAAAGTAAAAGAAAAGGGAAAAAAGGAAAGGAAGATTTGATATTCCATTTCCCTCCCTCCCTCCCCCCTCCCATCTCTTTTATTTCAATGCATGTATTGTGTACTAACAATCGCATAACTATATATCTTTCGTTCCTTGAACAGAGGTTCGTTTGAAACAAATTTGCCCTTTTTTGCCTTTCGCAACTTTTGCTTTTTTTTCTTTTGCTTCCCCCCCCCCCCCCCCCCCCCCCCCCCCCCCC